CCTCTGAGAAAGGACAGATGTCACTTTGAAGAAGCTGGACGTTTGCTGGTAACCTGGAAACCAGACGCAAAGCATATTGACAACACCCTGATAAGGAGACTGGTTGAATTGATATGTATACTGCATACTGTTGTTGGTTGTTTCTTGGCAAATTGGTGCTTGAATGTGGTTTTGAACGATTTGTTTCCACCCCAGAACTTTCCGATGCTTCAAACCTCTGAGAAAGGGCCACATTTTTTTTTGGGGGGGGGGAACCCGAAAGAGGTCACCTTGAAGAAAGCGGATGTTTGTTTGTTTCTTGCCCACCCAGTCAGTGGACAACCTTTAACCTTTTTGGGGGATTGGTTTCCCCACTCAAGAGCAGATGGAAAGTTTGGTTAACCTTTATTTTCCTGGGAAACGGCTCGGCAGTCAGCTTGTAGCTTGTCCCCTTTCAGCCTCCACCCAGACCTGCGACATGTCCACCGAAACGGCGGGGGCTGTGCACCAGGCGCAATGAGCTGGTGAAATGGACAGCATGCAGTTGCACGTGCGGAGAAATGCTGTGCCAAAACAGCTCGCTCAACGATGGGTTCTGCTGGGCGTTGAGTTCGATGTTCCCAACTGAAACCAGCGTTTGGTTGGAACGGCATCCTTTTCGGATCTGACTGGTAGTGCAGATTTGCTGCACCCCGTGAATGGTAGGTTTTGCATGAACAGATCAACACATAGTTGTAAGTTGCGTCAATAGCATTGTTCCAGGGGTCACAAAGGGTGGTCTTTAGTCCCTAAGTGAGTCGATGTTCTGGGCACCCTATCCTCCAATTGGCACCCCTTTGTGACTCCTGGTTGTTGTTTTATTCTTTGTTGTTCTGGGGCGACTGCCAAAAAATAGGACCGAGACCTGCGCTTACATATCACAGGCAAGCGCTTTGCTGTTCATGTAGCCGGCTCACTCAGCACCACCGGCTGAACACGAAGATAGTTAGCAATACCTATATTAGAGTATGGCATATTCATAAATGTTCCACCCCCATGAAAAACTTAATGTAGCAAAGCAGAGGTGAGATTCTACAGGGTGATCAATGTCAAGAATTATACCTATGGCCCGCCTCTGACCTGCAGCCTGCAGAGCCGAACCGTCGAAAAGCGTTCATGTGCCGCACACGGATATGCACACTGCGGGAGCAGTGGATCATGGTGCCGAATGCGAGAGCAGAGGTGATAGATAGGTGATAGGTCTCCATTCTTTTTGAGTCCAACCTGAGTTTCTGACCTTAATACGTCTCCTCTTATAATGTCAACGTGCACGTGTACCTTGATATAAGAGAGGTGTGGTATACATATGCAACAAATTGCCAATCTGATCGGATATACAGTTACAATATCTGGAATCTTTTTGGGGCCCTGAGTACCAATGAACTTGGATGGCTACCACTACCACTGGTTACCACAACCGCTGGTGTCCCCACCTCACGTCGACCAAAAACCTCCTGAGGTGATCAAGGTGCCCACATGTCAGGCGGGCAGAAGCCACTCGACGTGGACCGGGGGGTGCGTGGGGGATGACGGGCCGTTGCAAACAGGCGGGTCAGACAGGCCGTTCGGGTCCGGGTATTGGTTTCTCCAATTCAAGTTAAGGCATTCCAGGACCTAGGACCTCCGAATTTCGGGCTGGGTTCATGGACATCAAGAATCACCGCTTGAAACGGGATTATGATATAGACACCCGTGAAACGCTGGGGGTCCAGGTAGTATAGTATTGTTATAGTTTGTCATGTGTCCTCGATATAGTCTTGTTATACTTTATGTTTCCCTTATCCCAGACACTCCATGTCTGTCATATATGCCGCCCCATTGACCCCTCAAACCACCCCAATGTAGGTAAATATGCCAGTCCCATGGAGTGTCTGGGTATTGTTTGTTATGTTTATCGTTATGTTATCTTATGTATGTATATATATATATATATGTTATTGTTATGTTTTTTGTCGTATTACATTCCCTCAAGTCGCGTCGACCTCTGGAAATGGCTCCCCCACTGAGAAGGTCGATCGCTTCAGGAGGGAGTCACTCCGTACCGATGCTGAGTCCGTCCGTACAGATCGAGGGTTGAACGTTGCATAGGTTTGCGAAGTCTTCCAGCACCTGAAAGGTTGAAACATGCTGGAAACATGCATCAGATCTCGGTGGAAGCATGCTGGGATGTGCTGGGATGTGGGCACTGCGACCAGAGGTCTGAATTTACCTGATCGGTAGTAACAATTGACATGTGCCTGTGCCTTTGATCAGTTGGTATAAGCGATGGCCCTTTGGCTGGCCAGCCACACCCGTGTCACTGTTGAACTGGCCCATCAAAAGAACCATGTGGTCAGAACAATTAATATTCTCTCTCTCTCTCTCTCTGTGTAGGCGGAGACTCCCCAACCAGCGCAATGTCATATATTTATATACCAGCACCCTCCAACAGGTCACCACCTGACACTTTTAAGTCTACAAAAGCCGCCATTTTGGAGACCTGTAGAGTCGGGTGCTGGTATGTTATTGTTCATATCTTTTTGTATCTTTGAAATCAAGATGTTCAATTTGCTGTTCTTCTTGGCCCCTTTGCCCCGAGCCACTCACTCAGGCAGCGCCTGAGCATTGCTCGTGCGGTGATCCTCAAACCACGTATCCTCGTGCTGGACGAGGACCACGACGGGATGTCGCGACGTAAATCTCTAGGGATCCACTGCCACCAGATGAATTGGAAACACTTCTATGTAAGCACCAGGAGGGTCCAGTCGTACCTTCTGAGAAGCTACTTGGATGATTATTAGGAAATGCTGTAGAAGAAAAAGCAGCTCTTAACATCCCGCAACATGTCTGTCAAACGTAATTAGGTAGAAAAGCGGAACTGCAGAATCACCTGTTCATAACATGTAGTCCCTCGAAACCTTCAAAGTGAGGACCCCAAAACCGCAGAACACCGTTCTTTCCTTTGCCTTTTGACCTTTAGAACTTTCCTTCCTTCCTTCCTTCCTTCTGTTTTTTTTGTCCCTTTCGAAGAACCGCCAGACCTTGCCAAACCTGAGATTCCATTTTAGGTCACGAATCGTCGTCTCCATTTTGGACCTCCTCGAGGTCCTGAAGGTCCTGGTCTGTCAAAACCAATCATTGAGGTGGTTTCATGTGGTTTCAGCGTCAAAACAGATTGGAATGACCGGTTTCTTGACACCTCTCATCCCTATGGATCCACATACCTTCTGAGAAGGTGATTGGAGACTATTTATGTAGGCTTGGAGGGTCCAATTACCTTCTGAGAAGGTATGTGGATCCCTAGGGCATGTGGTTTGAAACGCGATTTTCAGGTGGTGGTTTTTATTGTTGCTCTCGCGCTGACGACCTTTTTTTGGCACCCGAGGGGGGTGGAAGCGCCTTCCTAGGCTTTCAGGAGGTGGAGTTCAAGATGCCAGTCCCATGGAGTGTCATCTACCCAATCAGTAGTTCATACTACATCATTTCAATGTATTTCATGGATGTTCACCGATTGGTTTGGGTGTTTGCATGGCCGGTCCTGCATGGCCGGTCCGTTTCATCGCCGGTCCAGGCGACCAGTGCCCTGGATGCGGAAGCCGAGGGTGCCGTGCAGGCGCGATGGCGGCCGGTGTGGGGTTTGAAACACATGGCGACCGGTGATGCCGACCGGTGATGCCTGACCTCTGATTGATAAACGGGGGTGGCAAATGTTCAACTCTTGGTCTACCCTAAATAGAGTCCCTGATATATCCCTTTATTAATCATAGGCATAGGTCAACATTAGTTGTTCTGTTTTTTTCTTCGCTGATGTCTAGTGGAAAGTCTGTTGAAGGAGACCCTTGTTGGTCTCTATGTCACTTGAGGATCCACACAGCAGTGGCATATCCACGAAGAGTCAGGCTACAGAATAGCAGCACCTGTCTCGATGCACAGGAAGTAAGAAAAAGTAAGATGTGACGTGTGATAGTTCTCTCCAAGCTTTGACACATCAACAGGTCCGAGACATCAACACGTATCAAAAAACTCGGCTTTCTCAGGGGCCCTGTTAAATCTTTTCACACAGCGAACCTTCAACCCTCGCCACGCCGTAAATACCAAGGTGTTAACTAGCATTCCAGATGGTGCCCACGGCCAGCTCACCCAGCCATCCATCAGCTACAATGACCCAGCCGTACACAGGATGCCCTGGACACGGTCATGGTTGGCCGGACCACCCTGGTGATCGCTCATCGTTTAAGTGACCCACGCTGGACGGTTGTTTTGAACCCGGGGGTACTAGTGGACCTAAGGCAAATACACACCAGTCTTGGAGGTTACTACAAAAGTGTCAACTGTAGGAGAACAAGAATGGAAAGCACAGCACATTCCTCTTATGCGACAGGTCACTAGGCCAACACGGCATATTCGCTCATTGTCCGCCGGATTCCGCCGGTTGGGTTTGTTCATCATGTGCAAAAGGAACAGCAATCTACTGGGGTTTGCAGTGTCCAAACACGTTAGGCTTGGTCTTTCGGCTCTCTAGGAACGGAGCTAACCGGTCAGCTTTCCATGAAACGGAAAGGCAAAGCCCCATGGGCAGAGTGTTTTAGGATGGAAAGTCGGCATGCCTGGAAGGGGCTCAAATGGATATCAAAACGGGATGAATCATGAATATGATGTTTGTTGTTTTGGGAGTGTTCAGTGTTCAATCCTCAAGCTTACAGTAGCAGTGATATAAATACAGATGAAAGGAGCAAGGATGATTCCACCACCAGTATGAACACGTTCCAGTGTCCATGTTTACATATTCCTGAAAGATGGTTGTCTTCGTGGCTAAAAGTTTAGCCGCTGCTACTCACGACAAAAGGTACCTTGTTTTGACCAACTCCGGAATCTCAGATCACCACTCGACCTGCCCACTTGGACCATGGTCGACGCTCCGATACCAAGCCTCACCATCGTGTGGTCGCCATGCCCACGCTTGACCATCGTGGAGACCAAGCCTCACCGTCTCAGGTACCATCCGCAATGCACACCGAATCGTTTGCATGCGCGATGGCCTTGTGGTCGAGTGTGGCACCCCAAAGGACCGTCGTTCTCGTTTGTTCGCACCGAGACGGTGGGTCACGGCACACCCAAAGCGCTTTGCGCAACCAGTGGGTCACAGGCACAGGACGGAAGGAGGTTCCATGTGTTTGTTGGACCAGAACTTGAACTAAAGTATACACTTGGACACGATTTATAGCATTTTTTGGCACACTTGGACCAGTATATGTTATACAATTCATCAAACGGAGTGCACGTTGGTGTCGGAAAAAGCTGAGTGGCGGTGTTCTTGGTCCCAAACGCATTGTTTTTGTCATTTTGTCATTGCGATCGCATGTGCACATGCTAGCTGAGACATGGCCACACATGTCCAACCCAAACACCGATATTGATAATGTATGATATGCTTATACCTATAGAGCCTTTGGCAGCAGAACCTTCTGTGGATGTGAATCTGAATTCCATATGAAATTATGACGAATGGAGAAGAAAACAACGCCAGTCAGGATGCCCTCATTGAAGAAACGTCGCCACGTCAGGCGACCTGCCGCCAACCAGAATCAGTGTAGTTGAGATTCGATGCACCCCTGGTTTTCATCAATCAATGCTATGGTCAGCAAAAAGCATGGTTCAACCCCGACAAGGAGCTCACAAATGTGGAACATAACCTTCAAAAACAGACTCTGGAAGCTTCCGCCACAGGGAGCATGCAATTAAATGCCGCCAATGCTCCGTCCAAAGAAACGACGCCACAAAACCAAGAAATGCGGCCATAAGCAAAAGGGTGCTTCTTCCTAAAGAGGCAGACACTTTTGTAAGTTTCGAACATGTTTGATATCATGTATTACGGCGTGCGTGTAGTACTGCAAATTGCCGAGAACACTGGAGCCAGGGGCCCAGTCTGAGTGTTTATCATAGGTGTGCTGGGCAGGTTTCCACCTGTTTGGTCTTTGAGACAGCTGGCTGTGCATCAAAATCACCCTGGTTGACCACCGAAAATGAACAGAATAGACTGTTACCAGACATGGTTTACCTACCAGGGCGAAAGCTGGGAGTCCAGCTTGCCCTTTGCACACCAAGATTTGCTCTTCAAATTGCCCACTTTCAAGGTACATTGTACGGCAAAGTTCTTTGGTTTACCCTTGGTGTGCTCTTTTTGTTCAATTGTGTGTTTACTGGAACCACCCAGCAGATGTCAAATTCTCGCCAGGAGCTTCTCGCCAAGCAAGGCTACTACTGGAACCTCGTGAAGCGTCAGGTGCATGGTTTGTTGTCAGATGGGCCACTTATAGAAAGAGATCTCCTTCTGCAACGACCATTGAAGAGATGCTGAAGAGCGAGGGGGAAGGTGGACAAACGGGGATGGTCTCAAAACCTTTCAGCTTCAAAGAAACCCGGTCGGTCAAGAAAGCCAGCTGGTCGGTCAACCCTTGCACCTGAAAAACCAAGGCCGGGTGGACCCACGGACGCCCTGGCAGGTGTGTACCTTGGACGACTTGCAGGGCTTCAACTTGGAGCTGGATCAACATCCAGCGGAGGAGTCCCAGGTGCGCCAGAGCCGAAGACGGATTCGTGGCTGTGAGAGGGTCAATGGGCGTCGAGGGGGTGAGCTATTTAAAAAAAAACACGGTTCGCCATCATCAGTCTCATCAGCAAAGATTCAAAAACAAATCTATGGATAAAGCATGTGCATATGTAAAGTTCTTTACATGCCCTCTCATGTGGCCGATCTTAACAAGAAGCCCTGATATGCACTTTCCAGTTGATTATTGCTGGTACTTCCAGTCATGAACCAAAACCATGAAGACATGTTTGCCCTGGTGTTGTTGTTCTTCCAGAGGATAGTCGAAAATGAGCAAACATCCTCAAGGCCAAGGAAGGACATACCACATCATACCACCATGGGCAGAGTGTTTGTGCCATGATCTCTTTTATGCGAATCCCTACCCACTCAGTGGATCATTTGCTTTCTTTCCGGTGCGGTGATTGGTGTCCATACTCGAACAGATGAACCGTTTTGGTTGACCTGATGTTGGGGGGGTTTTCACTTGGCCCCCGGCTTGGGAGTCGGACAACACCTTTATGTCCGATCGATGGACCACGCGGAGCGGCTCGGAAGAGACGACCAGGGGCGGTGTTCGTCGAGCCTTGCAGCCAAAGAGCAGAAGCGAACGGGGAGATACCCTTAGATGCATGGATACCCGCTTTCACCTTTCTGGACCTTCAAGGGGTGTCCTGGCTGGAGGTCCCTTAGTAGTGGGCTAGGGCTTCCAGCCAGGTGACCATTTTGAAGGTGCTGCGTTGGTTTGGTAGGAGACCCAATACGTAAAAACCATATCCTGGGGATCTACCGATTCGCTGTCGGTAGCAAGGGGTATATGGTTGTTTTTGTTGTGACCTTTGTCTATAATTTATTCTTTAGACAATTGTTGAACAAATATCCTCTATGCCAGCCACCTTTTGCAAGTGTGGTACTCACAGTGGAATAGGATTTGGTCGCTCCTCCTGGCTTCAAGGAAACCCTGAGGAGTGCGAGTCATGGTTTGTTTCGTTAGGCGAAACAAGTCGAATCCATTCCTTTTTGAAGACATGCTTGGATAGTTCTACATCAACTATAACTATAACTCACCATTAGCTCACTTTTCCAAGCTCGGTCAGGTGGAAGGCAAGAAAGCAGAGGCGGTGGAGGAGAATGGGAAGTTGGACGAAGCTGCTAGCACATGAACCGGAGTGGGTTTCTCGAGCCTCCAAAACATGGTCTGTAGAAGAATTCGACATCTTGGTTTTGCTTAAGGGGATGCTTATTTCCCTATGGGTAAATCCCCTTCTGGCCAATATGTATTTTTATCCTGGTTCCTTGAGCAAATCCGTAGAAGAATTGGACATCCGCTTCAAGAATTTCAATTGGCGATAGCGTTGCATGGTGTCTACCCCTACTTGATGGTACTACGACTCTCCTGATCAGTCTTGGGAAAGAATCACGGACCTGCAACGTGAGAGGGGAGCAAGCACAAAAGAACACTATAGGCTATATACCAGCACCTTCAAAGGGGTCACCAATGGAAGCCCCTGCGCTGCTGGGGGGCCTCCGTTGGGCGCCCCTTGGGTCCGGGTAGCCGAACGGGCAAGCCTGGCAACAGTTGCCATCAGGGGGAATCCAACTTGGCAAGGAGGGAGGCACTGTAAAGGCTTCCACTATACCTATAGCTGGAAAGATGCGATTTGTTTGTTGAAGTTTTTCCATGCTGGTAGATGAAATCCAGAATGTGAGGACTGTCTCATTTTACAAGAGTAGAGTAGAAGAGTGGTGCATCACACCATAATTAAGTCGATAGCTTGTGCTATCTACTCGTGCTGTCTACTCGTGGTCTTAAGCAACTCATCTCCCATGAATGGAAGCTCTCAAGGTTCGTAGTGACTTTGGGTGTTCCGGTTTCTATTGGGGACAACGCCGCGGTGGACGTTTTCTCCCCCTGGACCAAGAGGCTTAGAGGCTTGAGCTTAGAGGCTTTACCTGTTGTCATTGTAGATGAAGAGCCTTTTTGGCACGACAAAAAGATTGTGCATCGAGTCCTTCCCCAAAAAGTAACATCGACAGTGCAGATGTGAAGTGAAGATAAGAGTATGTAAATATCAAGGGCATCGCTACTAGTAACAAGGGCAATACTACTTACGAGGAAATAGCTGGCTAGAAGCTACTAGTCGTGATGTCCTTGTTACAAGTATTTTCTTGCTACTACTAGCAATGCTCTTAGCTACTTAGCAAAAATCCATTTCCGTTGGAGGGCCTTTTTCTGACGTGCACCCTTAGGCGAAGCCAACCACTGCGGGGACAGAGGAAGAGTCATGAGAAGGGCGCGTTAGGTAGTTGATCCGCATTTAGAAGTAGAATGTGCTGATTTAACTTAACCCGATGCCGCACAGGTGGATGACATGGTGGTGTTCCTTTCAAATTTGCAACACGACAACAGTCAGAGAGCGCACATATCGGAAGGGGGGTTCTGAAATGTTTTGTGTTACAGTCTTAAAAGGAGTTCCCTTGCAATGTTTTGCCTACCACCGGGTGTTTCCCTATTTGGCGCAGTACAAGAATGATGCAATAGGTTGTTTTTGGCTTTGATGGGGAGATGTGGTAGGATGTTGGGGAGGGCTTCTTTGCTGAGACATGGCCACGCCAAAAGGATAGAAGAAAGATGCCTCCATGATGTGGCCTCGACCGCTGCACACTCCTCACCCAAAGCAGGGAGTGCACATGTTTGAGGTGAACTGAAACCTTCTAATTCTAGGATCAGAGTACTAGCCAATTATATAAGAGGTTTTTATCTTAGAGGGTGTCTCAGGTCCAAGTAAGTTAAGGGGATATATGGGATTCGGAAAGCCTGAAAACATGACACCCTTCGATTGCTTCCATCGGAATTAACGTTCACTCCTTTAAATCTTGATGATGTTTTCGTTTGTTGAACCTTTACATACATGGTTGGTGTAGCTTGTAGCTTGTCCTCCAGAGAAGTGACCGACCAATTTCATTGTCATGTTCATTGCGAGGGATCGGCCATCCTTTTGGACCAATTTCTATGTTTTTGTTGGCAAACCCGACTGTTTTCCCTAATAACTTACAGAGAAGCCTCCAAAAAAAGTATAGTTTTGTGTGTGAGGTGTGCCTGTGATTCCAGCATCTTCAGGGTACTAACAGTGACCTGTAATTCGATCCTTGTCTTGCATAAGAAACACGTCACCCCTGTCACCTTTCCTGGCCGCGCAGTCGAGAGCTGGGCCCTGAGAAGTTGTACAGTCGAGGGCTTCATGCTCGCGCCCAAAAGAGATGCATCCGCGTGGGTCAGCGGCGTCAGCGGTGGTGGAGAGTGGAGGCTCTGGTGGCTCCACAGAGGAGAGTGGTGGCTCCTGGCCGGGCCTTACTACGAGGAGCAAGAAGCTACGAACGTAACCAACGGCAGAAAACTACTGTAGCATTCTTGCTACTAGGAACAAGAAGCTAGCAGCTTGTATAGGTTGCATTTGGATAATTGTATATAGAGTTGGAAGTGGGTCCGATGCAGGTTGGGAGTGATTCTCTCCAGTGTGTATCTGGTCCTGTTGGGGGATCGGGATGGTGAAGTCAACATACAATCAGGGACAGACAGTTAGAATATAACATCAATAAATTTAGGTATTTAAATCCGAACCTCCGACATCGACCCTGTGTGCGCTTGCACTTAGAATGCGGTGCAGATAGAATATGCAAAATCAACAATGAAACATAACATAACTATACCTACACCTGAAATACGTTTGTAGCCTCTGAAAACCTACCTTTGTGTGAAAACTCACGTACAGTACAGTCCTGTACAGTATCTGATCTTAATTGCAGTACAGGAAATCTTGGTACAGGGAGGGCGTGCTGTGTTGAATAGACTCAGGTGCCATGACCAGCAAATACATTTTGCATGCAGCATTGTTTTGTCAATTTGTTCTCGATGTCTAGCAAACATATACAAACTGTTGTGAAAATAATGCAGTTAGAATATGTATTGAAGTAACCGCTTCCAGTGATATTAAAAAAAACAGAAGTCACAAGCACACATACACTGCAAGAGCGTATAGGAGCAGGAACACGGCAGTCAGCGCACAGCAGCAACGTTACGCTTTGAGAGACACGTTCCCAACGCAAGAAGGAATAGAATGATATGCTCCGTGTCAACATTGCACTATTGCAGTCAGCACTCGCAGTCAGCATTGCTTTGCCTTGTGACGTTGTGTGTGAATAGGTCATTGCATTGCTTCCATACACGGTGAGTGTGAAACATGCTTCCATATTCTATTATGTTTTGCTTGTAAAACTGTGCAGATAGAATATTTATTTATATACTATATATTATAGAGTAGACTACTACGGCGGCTCCGGGGGACGCTGTGCTTATACTTATATTACTGTATATAGTACTACAGTAAGGGATAGAGAGAGAGAGGGAGAGGGAGTGAGGGAGCAGCTTCTTGCGTTTCTTGTGTGCATTTGTTTGGTTCATGACTCGTCAAATACAGCTCTCGTTTGGGCATTCAACAACCACCATGCACAGATCACAGGCTAGATGCACCATTGATCCTACTGTAAGATGTGTCTAGGAAAGTTTCTGCAGAATGGCACTGCATGCTTTTGTGCAAGTATTTGATTCCATTGCACTTGAACTGTACAAACTAAATTGTTCAACATCGTACTGTTTGAAACCAACCGAATTCATTACAGTACCGTGACATCATGGCTGAGCAGTTGGTGGCAGTGGAGGCATTGAAGGCAGCATCGGGCGCTGTCCAGTCAGCACAAGGGGTTGCGAAGGGAAGAACCTCATGTGCACCTCCGCCGCTACCGCCACCAGCGTCGCCGCCGCCGGCCAGCGCTCCTGGTGATGAGGGGGCTGATGGGGATGATGCTCCGCATTCACCAACGGGTGTCGCTGATATTGAAAAGCCTAAGAGCAAGAACATTACTTTGTTCAAACAATTCGCAAAAGTTGCACTTTGTGGTGAGGTTCGCCGGTTTGAGATGAAACTCTACGGCCCAATGTTTGAGAACCTTCCACTGCGTGCAGCTGAGTTCTTCGAGCAGGAAGCACTCTCCATGTTGGACACCTTTGATGGTTGCTCAAAGAAACGCGATCAGCGCATTGACATTCTACAGTCTGCAGATTGTGATCCCAAGTTCCTGGCAAAAGGCAAGACCATTGCAATGCAACGTGATGCACTGGTGAGGCAGTTGTGCAAGGGCAAGGTGGAGAAGGTCGAGCAGCAAATCATGTCGAGGCTCATCAAGTTCGTGGCTGCTGGCAAAGACACTAGTCAATGGTGCATCAAGCCAACACTTTCGAGGTTTCGCGCATCATTCACTTCAAGCAAGCAATCCATGGAGAAGAACTTCACCAGGTTCACCGAGGCTATCCACTGGCTGAAGTCTTTGAATGTGGCGGACAAGGAATGGGTTTTGTAAGAGGGGCCTGTGTTCTTGTACCCCGCAGTAGTTGTTGTTCCCGAATGATTCAAAGGTTGTGAACGAGAGTGCAGTTAGAATATGTATAGAGGTCCAGTGTCTTAAGAGGTTCAGCAGGTACAATTTTTTGCGGCTGGTTGAGGACGGCGCACTGGATAAATCTTTGGGCTCTGTTCTGGAAAAAGTCAAGCCAGCAGTTGAGGCAGATGCTGCAATTTCAGTTCTATCCAAGGGAGCTGAGCTGACAAAGGTCATTGAGGAAGCGACAGGAGAGTCCAATACTTTGTCATTGAACAATTTCAAAGATGTCACTGCCGACTTCCTGGCTCCAACCGTGGATGAGCCAACGGGCTTGGAGGAGTGTCCTTTCTTCGTTTACAAAGGCCTGATCAGAAGACTTTCTGGTATGTGCGGAAGGCGGGAGAATGAACATTTCGGAGTTCTGGGTGGTCACGAGATGAAGGTACTGGATGTGATTACTGGCTCTTCTGTGGAATCCGTGCTTCAAAACCCGCACTTGATTGAACGTTGGCAGAGCAAGGGCTTCAGTGCCATGGGAGTGGTGGTTTGGAGGCAGGGTGAACCCGAAGATCAAAAAGAGCTCATCCAAGCCCTTCCATCAGAGACCCCATTGTTGCTGATGATGTATCCTTTGAGGCCAGATCGAAGGGCATGGGTGACTCAATGCGCCGATGGTGCACTGTCATTCAAGCCAGTGTCATTGGATTCCAAAGCAATGAACCGAAAGAAAAATGACACCTACACGGTGTTGCCAGCTGATCGACTGTCGACAAGCTTTGAAGACCAGGCAGCTTCTGCAGTATCTGATGCTGTTTACCAACATGTCCAAAAGGCAGTGGCCACGCAGAATGATGTGAAAGCACATCGGCAGTTCCAATTCCATTCGCTCCTCCTGTGGGTTATGCTGCTACCACTCCGTTTTGGCTGGACTTCGGTTTGCGCAATGGTCAGAGGTTGCTCGTCACCAGTCAGGATTTGCTGTTAACAGGAGAATTGAGCAGCAAGAAGCTACTATGGCACGGGAACTTCGTCAACTGGCGTTGGACACTACAGATCTGAATGACCCAGTGATGGCGGAGATGGCAAAGACTGCTGAGCAATATATGTCTTTGGATGTAGTAGAATTGTCTTGGTTGGGGAGCACGCTGGATTTAGCCATCCGGTGCACGATTGAGGAGAAGGCAGCCAGTTCTTGGCATATTCTAACTGCAGTTTAAACCATAGTTTTTCATAGGTAGTGCAGTACAGTGCTGTCAACAATAAACATGCCCAACTTACTGCACACCCTTTTACAATATACTAGTGTAATACAAGAGTTCTGTGAGACGTTCATGGTCTCTGTGCTGCGCAAGAGATCTAACCTTGCAGGCATTTGCTTGGATCTCAACCAATTCTAGTCTGCAGCAAGATGCAATCTATGGAGCCAACCGTCCGGAGGATGTACACCTGCTTTATGAATGGAAATCAAATCCTGAAACAGGTTCTTTCTACAGCCATTTCAGTGTGGTGGTACCCCTGCATTGCGAAGATGTTTCAGCTCCCAGCACCATGTGGTTGCCAGCGGATGTGCCCTACCAGCCGCCACTGTCAGATGCAGCCGTTTACAAGAACCAGCTTCCAGCGTTTGCTGAGGTAGCACCTCAAGCCTTGAGCATTGAATCAGCTGAAGCACATGAACCAATGCAAACCATTGAGGCACCAGAAGCACCACAGGCAAAGCGTATCATTGAGGCACCACAAGCACCATCACAAGCAGATAGCAGCACACATGAAGCAAAGCC